TGGTGCGGGGGTCCCTCCGGGAACCTAGAGGTACGTGCACAAGTTTGCTTGTTCATACCCACCACACGGTGACTGTCTTCTACATCTGATTCGTTTGATGAAGTCGGAGCCGCCCAGGATTTTCCCTCATGGTGAGAGGGGAGGGGGGATGAAAGCTGCCAATTTTTGGGGCACAACTCGCTCAAATCTAAAACTTAAACAAGCAACTCCCATAAACAACCACGTTTGATTCTGAAGAATTTGATGACATTGTACCAAAAAGAGTAGCTTTTACCCCCCCCCCCCCCTCCGCCTTTCATGGAGTAAAATAGGATGGTCCCGACTCGATTCAACTCAATTCGATTGGCGGTGGGCACCTGGCATAACGATGAGCCGCCCGGTCCTGCATATCTACAACGGCGATCATCTCTCGTTCCTTCCCTCACAGGAGATGGTGTAAGAACTATCCATCTTTTCTTAGCTTGGCTAACACACGCGTGATCCAGAACAGCCTTATCTTTCTGTCTTCAGGGTGGTCTATATTCATCGATATTGTCACGGGAGGCCAGGATTGACGAGGAGAAAAGAGCTTGTCTTATACAGCTCAACATCCTGGGCAGTGTCATGATAATGTAGAAAAACCATAGGGGGGGAGTGGGGTGTGGCCGTTTGTACAGGTGGTTGTCTTAAACAGGTGATCGCTATAGCATGTTAAACTGTACGTAAAAAATTGACACCAGAAGTACCTCTTTTAGTTTTAGTAAGAGTTTTACGGCACTTAAAACACAATTGGGTCATTTTAGTGGTGCAGATTAGAGGTGTTACAAGACATCTGCCTGTCTAAGACAACCCCGGTCTCCCGACAACAGATGGTCACCTGAGACAATGCCCACTGTAAGCTGGAAGATAAACGCTGGTTACTTCAGTGTGTAATGGTCCAAATGTTCTCAAGCCATGAAGTAGCGTCAGTTGTGGGTACTTCGCCGTCACACGCACATGACGCCAGTTCGATTCCCGTGCAGTGAGAACGTTTCTCAAGCACCTCGGTCTTTCTGCTGGAACGTTGTATTTCCTCTCCACCCACACTGGCCCTGACAGGCAGGATCCGAGCAGCCCGCCTACTACATCATCTACAAAATGTCGACCGGGGGGGGGGG